TTGCGACCGTTGTGGGTATTTAGAAGCACTGGACGACGCCTGGTTTTAAAGCGTTATTTCTCATTCATACATACTTTTTGTGTCATCCAAGATTTCAGTTTATATTATTTGGCGCCCAACGAAGAACTTCACTCTGGAGACTTAATTGTAACTTCATTTGAAAGTAATTACTAGTAACTCTTTGAAATGATAATTTTACTTACTTTTCTTTGAAACTATTTCCGTTCTACTGGCGGATATATCAAACCCAATTAGCGAATTTTCCACTGCCTCAATGGAAACCACTTGCTTGCTCAAATTATGCTGTACTACTCTCTTTTCCTCCTGTTCCCTTCAATGCACCCGATTCCTTTGTCCGTGTCAAATCAATTAGCAAGTGCAATTAATGAAGCGCAATGCACGAAAATAAAAACTCCACAAAAAAGAGGGAAGAAGACGAAAAAATCACAGCCGCAAGAGAATTTTGCTTTGGTCAGCTAGGTGAAGAAAGGGGAAAAAAAAAAAAAAAAAAAAAGCACAGAAAAGAAAAGAAACAGCACACGGCAATTTGTCTTTTCCATCAATTATTTAGACACAGCTCCAAAAATAATGATGATGGCAGAGGGGGCAGGCAAGCTTGATGATGGAAATTCAGATGCGGGAAAGTTGGGAGGAAAAATCGTTGGAGGGAAATCGTGGCTTCTGAAACAAGAGCTCCAGCTATTGGCAGTTAATTAATTGAATCCTGTTCAGTAGGGTGTTGCAACCGACTGCAATTGCAGCAAAACTTTTTCTCCACCCTCCCCAAAAAAGCAAGGTAAAAGTGCGGCGGGGTTAAAATTACGTAAAAAGTTTGGCGCATAAAGTCATTAAAGTTTTCTGATTCGATTTGGCATCTTATCCCTCTCATCCGTTTGCCGTTTTTTGACTTCATGACGCGCGCAACTTTCTAAGCTTACAAATTAATGACGCCCTAAAGTGTGTTGCCAAAAAGGGGTTGGAAAAGTTTGGCAAAAAGACGGTAGCCATAAAAATATCGTTATGCCTTAAACAGGGCAAATTGCAAAGGGGTTTTCACTTATTTGCTTTGCATTATTTACGATTTTCCCGATTATTCGCAGGAATGTCAGAGAGAAGTGGAAAAGCGAATGCTCAGCTTAAAACATTTACAAATAATGTCAACCGTATGCGGGCTTTCCTTCTGTTTACCCACATTTTTCTCCCAAAAGTATGCTAAGCTAGCGAAAATTTTGTGCCAAAGGGCTTTACAAATGGTATTGTTTGTGAATGTGGGTTTCTCCGTCACTCTTATCAGTCAGAAAACATGCAGAGCAACACCATTTTCTCCCACTCCACATCAAGCTATGGAGAATACATTTAAATCAGGCCTTCAAGCATTTACATCAACCCCATAAAAACTTTGAAATGTGACTTTTAACGAAACCACCGACAGTATTCTAGATAATGAATCTAGGTGTAACTTTTTAAGTATGTTTGAAAAATAAAGGTATTTCATTTGTTATCTTAACAATATTAAAGTGATCATTGATGAAAGTTGAAGTATACTCCCATATACAATTTTGCAGAGTAGTCAGTAAATAGGTTTCTTTGCTCATTTCAGTTCTGTAATCCAAGCAAATTAAGTTTGACTTATTTTATGATTGCATTAAAGGGGCAGGGAAAAAATACGTGGTGCTGTCACTACAGTTCGACTTCATCCCCAGTTTTCTATGTGCTTCATTAATTTAGCAACGTAAAACCAACGCACACAACACAGTCCCCTTTTCAGTGCGTCTCTGCCACGCCCCTTTGATTGGTCACGTGCCTTACACAGGTCCACCCCAGCCCCCCTGCCTACGCCCCTGCCCTTCCCTTTCCCACTTTTGGCTTCAATTCGTTGTGATTGCTTTGTATCGATTACAAAATGCATTACAACATTTGCCACATGATAAATAACACTCTATAAATGGGTGGTGCTGTTTCGATGGGCGGTGGTTACGGTGGGCGTGGCTGCACTTGAAATTAATCCGCGGGATACAGTAACTGTGTTGACAAAAGACTGGTGGCTTTGGGTTTGGATATAAGTTCACATATTTAGCCTCCATAAAGACAATCAGAAAGATCATTTTAAAACCATTATAAATTTATATAAATTCTTATTTTTGGTTTAATTTAAAAACAGTTTTGGAACATATGCCTATACCTCTAGATACTTTTACGATATCAAAAATTAAGGTTAAAGCTGCACGTGCATACACGTGCATAAACATCGGCTTGCCGAATCTAGTTCTCTTCATTTAATTTTTTTTCTGAATTTCTTTCCTTGCTAATTTATGTATTTTAGTTCCATTTACTTTCTTAAGCTTTTTTTTAACTTGTTATTAATGGCACATGGTCACACTAGAATATATCTATACCTGGTTCAGCGTGACCATGTGCCTTAAATGGGAAATGTAGCTACCTCACTGCTTGCCAATGCAACACCCTCCCACTTAACCCCTAGTGAACGTCGTTGCAAGGCCATTAACCCACACGTGCCTGAAACTTGGCTCTCTGTTCTTTCTATTGCTGTTACTTGGAAGAAATAAAATACAATTGCGTGATTATTGAACGATTTGTATCAATTTACAAGAGCAAAGGCTTTTGTGGATGGGTGAGGAGAAACGGCGGCCGTTGCTTCAGAAATGCTTATTTATGCATTTCACTTGCTTGTGTTATTACAGCTCGTGTGAGGGTTTTGCGGACGAGGGGAATGATTATTGATATCTGTGTCCATACATACATGTTCACCCCTCGTCAACCTTCTGCCACAAATACAAACTTATGGCAAACACAAACAAACTCCGGGGAGGATTGCAACCCAAGACATTTGTCGCAACGTGCGAAAACTTTTCCCATACAAGTGTCACTCTCGCTTCCCCTTCTCGCTTCCCCATACACTTGTTAGCTGCTCAAGTTTATTAAAGTGGCATAAAAGTGTCATTGGCGTCTAATTGCCAACGATAAGTCGGAACGGAGCCCAATCCCTAAGCCCCCAGAACGACTCCAAAACTAAGTTCCAACCGGACTGAACCGAACCGCAACAGCGCAGACCCATCTCAATCTCTTCCGGGAAGAGCGTAATTGAATGGAGGCCATTTCAAGTGGTCAAGTTTCAATTTAAGAGCCACAAGTCCATTATATCAACCTTAATATTGAAATATTGACAGCTAGTTCAATTTTTAACTTTTTTTTTCATCACTTATCCAAATGAGATTTTTAATTTTGTCTTTTCCTCCACTCTACTCTGAGCTAAAGGTCCACTGAATTTACCTTTAAATTCAAATATTTAAAACTATCTTAATTTGTAACTTTTTTTTACACGTGTTCTTGTTGTATTAAGTTGTTTTGGTAAATGCACTGCCATAAGGCAAGATAAAATACAAAAATCTGCAACTGACTTGGGCAAAATCTTTAAGTGATCTCTGGAATGTCTTTATGTGTCGGGATCATGTTTCATTAACTCTGATTCCACATGCTCCACCATACGCTCTCGAAAAGAATTGTTATGCTAGTTTTGCAGCTTGTCGAATGTGCTCCTCTTTTCAATATAGCAACTTATCGATATTAAAACTTGGCTTCTTTAATGGCTCGAGAAGAAAAGTTCTCTTGGGGTTATGGGCTGCAGTCTTTGGAAGGTGGGGGTGGGGGTGGCAAACTTATTGAAAAGTCATAAAAAGCATAAAATACAAAAATGACTGGTGGAGAAGAAGCTAAGGAGCTAAAAGGACATAAACTGGAAAAGCCACGAAATTGTTTTCCCCGTTCGCCGCCGTCAGCAGCAGCACCACCCTTTTTGTAAATCATTTAACACGCTCTCGATTTTTATTTTAATGACATCTCTTGGCAAAGTTTGCCCTAATGGCTTAGGTCGGAGCACTTTGGCAAGGACCTAATGGTGGCTGTGTCTGCAGATAGATTGGGGGTCCTTAAACTCAACTCCAGTCACAAAAACCCTTGGAGGCTGTGCAAATTTGTTCGCAGGCGTCAAAGGCTGCTCCTGGACTTGTGGATATCCTGTAAACTACTGCTCCGTGTGTCCTGTATGTCCTGTGAGTTAATGATCATCATGAATATTCCGACATTTGTTTGCATGTTTGCTCTCGCCAGTTTGCTCAGCCAAAATGTTAATATATGCCCAGAACAGCCCAGCCGACAAACTAAACTTAACCCCCTGCGGTCCTGCTAAATATTTGATTAACTCTCCCACGTGTATGTATGTATGTATGTGCGAAATCAACTTAATTAAAGTTAAACAAGCTGCTAATCAAATTTTTATTGCCCAGTCTTAGCCAGAAGAATCGGAATCCTTTACCTCTGGGTCCCGCAAAAACGTGGCGTAATTTCATTTTAAAAATGCATACTCCAAAAGGGGGCACCGTGTTTGAGCATAGTGCAACTCGCAGACGCGAACCAACGACCAAAGAATTGGATTGTCTCCCTGCACTTTTTTCCCCTAGTTTTCGTGTGTGCCAGAGAATTTCCTGGCTTGAGAGGGGTTGAAAGCGGTTCCTGCAGATTGAAAAGAAAAAAAATGTTTCCATTTTTGTGGGTATTAAAAAGGAAAGCCAAGCTGAATCCTTAGCAGCTGCAGTTATTTTATCAAATGGAAAAAAGCTTAACCAAATAAAAGCCACATTCCAAACTGAATTCGATGTGAGCTTTAAATCTTTCTTGCTTTAAAAACATCTATGATAAAAAAACGTAGTTTATCCCATTATTTTATACTCGTTTTCGCTTTAGTTATCGCTTTAGTTTTCATATAGTGCGGTTTCTAGAAATTTTAAATGTTTTTTCAATAATAATTTGAATGTTTTTTGAAATATTTTTGAATATCTGATATACTTACCTTAAATAAAGATCTTATTGAACTACAGTAAAATGAATATAAAAGTAAAAGGACTCATTTTATATTCAATATTTTTGTTGTAATGCATTTTAAGGTTTTATATTTAAAATAAATAAAATAAAAATAAATAATATAATAAAAAAACTTGTTTTTAATATTAAATATGAAATTTTTCCATTTTTCTTAACAGTGTTCAATTCGTTTAAAAGAAAGTCTTTATTAATGTTCGTGAAACTATTTAAGTTATTTCCTTCTGCTAAATCTTTAGTTTCGAGGTGAGGATTCGTTCTTCTTCTCTTGATCGCCATCGGAGTCTCCTTGGAGCCACCAGGCAGTCCACCGCGTGGGCGTGCGCTCCTCGTTGTCGACGGCGTAGAGCTGCTCCTCGGCGGCCCAGGAGCTTAAGGTGCTCGATGTGGCGATCCTGGGTGGCAGAACCTTCAGGCTGGGACTCATGCTGGTCAGCGATGGCTGGCTGGTGGTCACCTGGCAGCACAACGACGTTTCGGAGGGCGATAGCTTCGGCTGGTGCTGCTCCTGCTGCTGCTGCTGCTGTTGTTTTTTTTGCTTCGAGGAGGAGCGGCCACAGCAGCCAAGTGAAAGGTTAAGGCACATGATTCTGCAAGTAAAATTGAATAAGTACAGTCAGATCAAAGGGTTTTTAGTAAAAGATACACAAATGCGAATTCAAATCAAATGGGTTTCTTAAAATATTTAAAGAACGTCAACTGTTAATGGTCCACCAAAAAGTAAACCAAAAAAAATGCAGTCATTTCAAAGAGCTTTTAAAAAAATAAAACAGATGTCAGTTCTAATTAAAACGACTTCTCTTAGTATTTAAGGTACTTAAGGTAAAAAAAAGTACAACTTAGTCCAGAAAATAAAACATCATCTGTTATCGGACCACCAAAAAGTGCAGTTAAAAAAGTACATTCAGATCAAAGGTTAATATCGAAATCGAAGTATTTTAGGTATTTATAGAAGAAAATTAGAGTACATCCAGCAAGTAAAACATTGTCTGTTTGCCAACCAGCAAATAGTTAAGTTATCACCTTGTTCAATTCCCTTTTATTTATTTTGATAAACCCACGCCGATTCTCGCTTGGAGCCTCCAACTGAGGCAATACCCCACGGAACTGTTTGCTTTTATAGCCTGCCATTGACTAGTCCAATGTGTAGGTACAGTTGTGTTCATTGGAATCACGCTAGAGCAGCGTCATCAGGGCCCTCAAATTTCCCCCTATTAAACAACTGTTTTCGGGGGGCCTCAAATGATGCAAAATGATGTCACTTATGCTAATTTCAAAAATGCACTAGACTCTATGTTTCAGTATATGGTACATATATTATCGGGATTATTGGGTGGCAGTTTGGTGGTGGGGGGTGGTGTTAGGCGAGGGGAAATGACTACCTATTGTATTACCAATTTGCGAATGCAAATCAGAAGCGCAAATTTCACACCAGTATGTCGTATTGAATTTAAAGAGCTTGACATGCGACGCTCACATCAAAGTCGATGATGATGATGGTGATGACGATGGAAGAGGAGCAGGATGTGTGGCAAGGACCTCGATGACATCCTCGATGGCAATGCCGGAGTTTCGTTTATTCGTGGATGGATTATCCACTGGCCCTGCCGCCAGAGTATCCTGCACCAAATCCGGCTGAAGATGTACATCTGCACAGATGCTAAACTCAACCAAATGCGAAGGCGAATGGGAGGCCCTTCGACGGACAGGACTTCTGAGATTTCTGCTTCTGCGAGGACACTCCTCCTTCGTTAGCACCACTGGTGATTGCTGATCCACTAATTCATCCGCCAAGTTCTGTCGATCTTCATCGCGCTGCTTTTGGCAAAAAACCAACATTAGACATCCGCCCAAACTAAGCATGATTGTGTGTGATTTCCAAATGTCCGGAAAATTCCAGGAAGGAAGGCATTTATAGGCACTCAAATTTCCAGATCGATTGGTGAGTTTTTTAGAGTGCCAAGCTGTTTGCTTATCTCGCTTTTTACGTACAAGTCGGCACCAGTCTCCTCGGCCTCCAAAACATTTCAATTTCAATTAGCATTGCATACTTTGGCTCCCTGACCAAAAACTTTGTGCACTAATGAGTTTTGTAATTATACAAAAGTTGAAGCTGGAATACACAAAAGCCGAAAAGAAAAATATTCCGCCTTCGCAGCGGGTGGCCGAAGGTTTTAATTTTACATTTATACTTTTTTGAAAGATTTACGCGCGGGCTGCGAAATTGTAAAGCGATAATTGCTCGGGGAAATGAGTGAAGTATAATTGGACCAACTTTTTAAATCAAAAAACAGTTTACTAAAATGATAAAGCCGTAATGCTTGATTAATTTCATCATTCGTTGGGAAATAATTTTGTAATACAAATAACATTAAATTAAATTAAATAATTTAATTTCAATAATATACACGCAAAAGCTTGTGTTAATCAAATTATTTGGTATTAAATTGTTTTAAATATTATAAATAATAAATAATACATTTTATTTAAAGTGACTTTTTGATAACAAATCTCAGAATTCAGCCACAGCCTTCTATATAAAAATGTTAAAAAAATAAAATAAAGGAATTTTAATTTGTTTTATCAAAAATATAGCATCATCAGAATCATACCTTAAATGTCTTAATTTAATTAATGATAAATATAACTTTACTTTTCATTCGATACATTTTATTTAAAGTGACTTTAAAATTTCAAATCTCAAAATTCAGCCACAGCCCTTCCATATAAATGTTTACTCTTCCGGGTTTTTCCCACATGGCCCCGCTTTGGTGACTATGGCAAACAAGAAAAATATCAATGTCATTTGCAGACCCTTGCCAAAATTGTGGGTGGTTGCTGGAAAACGCACTGTGTGTCCGTCCGTCCAACAATAGGGGGGAAAAGTAAGCTATGGTGAAAAGCCAGGGGGAAAACGGACTTCGTTACTCTTGTAATGTTAGATGTGCTGTGTGTGTCTGTTCTGGCGAAGGGAGTTTGGATTCCAGGTTTCGGGACTCCAGGACTCGCGGTTTCCGGGGATTGGAGTTTTCCCACCCCGTTCCCGCCTTCCCTTGGTCAGCCGCATCATTGCGGTTTCAGAACTGAATTTTTCGCTATTCCCATTTGAAGAGTTTGTTTATGTATGTGCGTGTGTTTGCGTTTGCCCGTATTTTGGGAGTTCTAGAATTTTTACCCAGAAGAGAGGTGCACTAAGAAAATGTTATATTTCCAAAACATCTCCAATATACAGAACTTTAAAAACTGAACTCCAGCAAAACTAAAACTTGTCTAAATTATAAAATATATATTTTATTATCTGTATTTAATTTAAAGATTCTATCTTAAGATTTGATTAAAAATTATAAATTTATTTTATTTATTTTAACAGCAGATTACCATTTTTATTTTTTATTATTTATTTTTTTGTTCTCACAAATCTGTTTTTTTATTTTATATATTGGTTTAATACTAGCTGCGCTAGTCACAAAAGGCTAATTTAATTAAATTTTGATTTGAACAATGTTGGTTTTGAGGTGTGTGGATAATTTAAATAATTAATTACAACTTCTTTTTCTTATCAAAATACAATCCATAGTATTTTTTTTTTTGTTTTTGTAAGCTCTTATTTTTTATTTTGCTAATATTTAGCTTGGTCTGTATACACAGTTTGCACTGGTCTCGTGGTTTGTGACAAGCCAAGCGCATAACCGCAAAACAGACGCGTAGAATAGTGAATGGAAAAGGGGGTGGTAAATGGGTGGTAAGTGGGTGGTGGCTGGATGATGAGAGGCTGGGGCCTGGGTGGGCATTTGGTGGCTCACGCAGTTCCATTTTCAATTTGCAGTGCATGTTTTTCGGGGCTTTCTCGGTTTCTATGCCAATCTGCGTTTCTCATTTGTTCGCTTCAATCTCCTTTTTTATGCGCTCTGACGCCACCCACCACCCACAACCCGATTTTTTTTTTTCTCCTGAGCACCCTGACAACAATCCACCCCTCATTTTGGGTTGTTTGACGCGCCCCTCCGCCTTTTTTTTTGCCCACTGCGCCTGTATTTTGCTTTTGTGGTCATGCCCACTTGATGCGTATTTAATTAACGTTAATTGAAATTGATTTATGTATGCAGTGTGCGTACTATCCATCCCCCTGCCAACGCCCATGAATATTGAAAGGGGGGGGCTTTTGAGAATCGGCAGAGATTCGAGGGTTGACTCAATTGACAAATTTTCGGCATATTGAAGCATGAAAAATTTTGCGTTTTGGGTTCATTTAGTTGATTAAACAAAATGCAAACAGACATTTTTGGGATTTTTAGCACGAAGGGATGAAATATAAGTGGAAAAGGAAATATGGTAGTGTCAGCAGAAGGCGAAGAAAAGTACAAAATTATTTGAAACGACAGAGGAATTTTACGCTGACAAATCGAACAAATTAAAATGGGGAATAAATTGATTATTATATTTCTAAGAAGCTTTGCCTGCTTGAAGAACTTATTGATTCTATATTAATTTTAAGCCTTAAGCATTTTTGGAAGTATAATATAAAGTCATTTCCAATTACCTTAACTTTCTACTTGCATTATATGTTTGGCTTGTGCTTCCAGTAAAACATTTTCAAAGTAATCCAATCAAACTTAGACAAAAAGGAATTAAATATACCTGATATTATTCGCACCCCATTTTCCCACGAAAAATTACTGAGCAGCAACAAAAAAAAAACAAAAAAGAAAAGAGAGAAACATTTGATGCGTGTTTGCGCAATTTCCACGTCATTAATTTCTGTTTCTAACATTCGGAGGAGCGCATCTACATCAGGTGCTTTTATGTTGATTTAATTAGAGGAGAAATCTTTCCCACTTTAGGAGGGTTTTTCCTCCGCTTTTCCCGCTGCTTCTTCTGTTGCCCTTGGCTTTTATTGCATAATTTTAGGTGTGCAGCTCAAATCGAAAATGTGTAGGGGGAGGAGGGATACAATCAGCTATACATCTAAACAGCAAACAGCCAACAGCAAACAGCAGACAAAGAACAATAACAATAAAGCAAAAGAAAATAACAAAAATTCATCATAAACAGGGAGGAAAAGTCGCCTGGGGTCGAAGATCGTAAATAAGAAATGGAATTTTATGCGTGCGCAAATAAAAATGCTGTGTGTGCGCTGCGGTGCGGCAGCCATTTAGTGCATATCTTTTGGGTTCGGCGTAAAAAGTTTCGTTTTGGCTCCTCGTAAAATTACTCATACGACTTGTTAACCGTTTCACCAGCTCACAAAGATACACATTGATTTTCCTGCCTCTCGTCTTATTTTCTCCATTTTCCCTTTTCCTGTCTTTCCAGGTGAGTCCCTTGGATCTTTTTTTTTCGTTATGTAAGTCCTTGGAAATGTGAGACGAATGATATTAAATTCTATTGATGAGAAATGAGGAGGAGAAATCGGAGAAGCCGGCACAAGGGTGAGCAAAAAGTTGGGGGGGTTTCTTTTTCCGTTTTCGCCGGTATTAAATGTTCGCTTTGATTCCATTGCGAATGTAAACAAATGAGATTTTTTCGCTGCAAAAAACTTTGACTCACTCAAACGAAAGTGGTTGGCCCATGCACTGGAAAGGAATTTTAGCAAAAGTAGTTTCTAAATATGTGCAATGAAAATACACATCAGACACTTTGGTATATTGTTTAAATTTCAGCATTTGATTGATTTTGTATATTTTTTATAGAGGTTAACATTTTTGATTATAATGATTTAAATGCATATTTTTTACAGTGCAAAGTGTACCTTACGGTTCGTTTTTCCGCAGCCCCTCATACCAAAGGAACAACAAAGGAATTTCCCTAATTATGCGTTCACCTGCACGTACACAAAAAGGAGTTGGGGGAGGCTAGCAATATAGGATATCCCACCAGTCTTTGGAAAGCCGAAACCAAATGGACCATGAAAACAAAAATCGCACAACGATTGCAAATGCAAAAAAGGGAAAAATGTACAAGAGGGTGGGGGGTTTGTAAAGTGGACAGGGCGATGGGTGGTGGATGGTGCTAGATGTTGTTAAACTTACTGTGATTAACAATTACAAAAACCAGCTGCAAAAGCGAAACCTCAACTAAAGTAGAAGCTAACCGGCGTTAACTGTTCCATTCCGCATTCCAAAACAACCATCCC